ATTGCTTTCTCCCCAAGTCTTGCCACTAGATGGTGACATGTGGCACCAAGTTCATCCATTTTTCACCCTATAAATAGAACCTCTCCCACCCTCATTTTCTTCACACCTTTCCCATTCTTTCTTCTCTTTACTCTCTCTCTCTAGAACCTCTCTCTAGCCCCGAAACCCCCCGAAAAGCCTAGGGAACCTCCCTAGCACGAGGCGGAAGCCCCGGAGTGCTCGACGGCTCCGAGAAGAAGAGCTTTTTGGCTCGGGAACGTTGCTCCAAGCAAAGCCCGGTTTTCTATAAAACCCGCTGTAAGTTAGCTACGCCTACGCTATTTTTAATATATCGTTTATTTAAATATAGTAGCGTTATTAGGAACTTATAATAAGTACTTGGGCTATTATTATGGGTTATATAAGTATTATTTAACGCTTATATAATAGTAATAATAGCTAGACTATTAATTAGTCTCGGCGAATAATAGACTAAACTCTAGTGGTGATAATACTAGGTTTCGTCGAAGGAAAATATTTTTAAGAAGCGAAGCGCTGTCTGAGTTCGGATTTACAACCTTTTCAAGTGAGTGCATAGTTACTTTCATCTTACACATAGATATGAAGTATTTTAAATAAATTACGTGCTATGTGTGCATATTATCTATATACTTGCTATCTATGCTGGATGAACGATTTTATACATGTTTTAAATGATTTAAACTGTATATATATATCTACGAGAATATGTTGGGTAAAACATGGGTAGATGTAATAGATGAAATATGAGTTGGATTATGAGTTGAGAGGTGTTATAGACCACGAGGTAAGTGTGAGAGGTGGACGATGTGAGAAGCCTTTCCCAAATGATGACCCCGTCATCTAGCAGAGTATGGATGACAACCACGGACTATTCTAGACAGTCCAGTGGAACACTGGTAGGCTCGCAACCTGTAGGTGTTGTGAACGATGTGTTCACCGGTGTACTCTAAAAACCCATTGACATGTATTGTGAGTGGACTCTCGAAAACGATATTGTCAATAAACGAGATAACCCTAGCAGCTGTGCTAGAAGGACAATACTGGTAGCTGCGCCTCACATAGAATGTCACAATTCTGGCAGCTGCGCCTAAGTGATAGAACTAGAAGCCGTGCTTGACAGCTGTGTCATTGACAACGATGGACTTCGTGCCGATTCCTTAGGAATGAATGAACGAGGAATAATTGATTCTTAGGGTAGATCCTTAAGAGTAAAGAAGATAATTGGGATGGGTAATTGGGTTGATTGTTTGATGTTTAAACATAATAATTATATTATTGTGGGTTGAAAACCCTATGTACTCACCAGGTTTCCCAACCTGACCCACTCAGTTTATTTGTATCACAGGTGTCGATATGAAGTTACATTACACTGAGAGATTTAAAAGAGATGTAGCTCACTAGTGTAAATGAATGTAAGTTTTGTTTATGCTTATGTTTCTGTATTAACGATGACATCCCAAATGTTTTAAAATGAATAAAAATACATTTCTTCGGAAATTCTTTGATAACGTATTTATCATGTTTTTCTGGGAACAAATTCCGCAAGATTTTTATTAAAAGAAGTACTCTGATTTTTATAAAGCATAAACAAAATCGGTCTTTTCTGGCCGTGAAAATGGGGATGTCACATTATATATTAAAAATGGAAGCCCTTTTGTGATACTCTTGCAACACTTTCCACAATGTCATTAATGTTTTGCATGGATATGCACGTGACACCATCGATTCCATTTACTGATTTATAGATTTCATGCATTTGTTTATTTAGTTAGTTTTATTTGTTTATGGCGTGTGTTCCATTAGCTAGCATTATCTCCATTACTTCCTTGTTTTTAGTTAGCACTACTTCTTTGTTATTTAAACTAATGTATGTTCGTTAATAGAAACGGAGAGAAATTTGATCCAAATTTTAGTGTCTTGTTCTTATTTCTTTGGGAGATTAGTCATCTCAAATTGGCCCTATCTTGGAGATTGACCATCTCGAATCGGTCTCCTATCACCCACCCTCCGCCTACAAGCTCGATGGAACCTAGATTAAATCAATGAAAACCCAGGTGATACCCAAACGATACCTACGTGTTGTAAGGCGCCTCAACCTCCCTAATCCTAAATCAAGCCACTAAATTGAGCAAAAATAAAGAAGCCCATCCATAGATTGAAGCAATGGATGTTGATTGGAACACATAGAACAAACATCAAGTAAATATGAAGAGAAACATTGAAATCATGAACACCCATTTCAATATAATCACTTAAAATAAAATAAAATAGTAATAAAAAGTCATTGTAAAGATTGGATGATGGAGATAAGAACAGAACAAAGAAATAGAAATATGATATTGCAGAGAAGATGAACACCTAAGTACATATTGGTTTCGATGAGCTCCAAATGTGTTTTCCGACATATGAACACCTAGTTCAGATCGAGATGGAAAAAAATTGATGCAGTTATTTGTAGTCCTCATAAATCAGATGCGGACTTGTGGTTCCTTCTTCATCATCGATTTGGACGTGGAGTTTTGATTTTCTTCACAAACCACAAACATTTGGAGTAACGATGGTTGATATTCCATCTGTGATTCTTGCTTAAGTCAAAGAGTTTTTAGGAGGAACAATTGTTCATCTAGTTTTTCTATTTCATTGCAGATTTTTATGGGTTTATTTAATTTTGTTGATTTCACATGTTGACATAATTTTTGGGGAAGAAGCCACTGAAGATAGTGAAGGAATGAAAGAAGAAATGGAGAGAGAGAGAGAGAGAGAGAGAGAGAGAGAGAGAGAGAGAGAGAGAGAAGTCCCTCTCATTTTTTAATTACTAAAATGAATAAATAAGTATTACACAAAAAAACAAAAGAAAAATAGAAAATAAATACAACAAGGGTATTACAGTCATTTTAATTTTCGGATGGACCAAATATATAACGAAACTAACTCAAAAGGACCACCAATCCAAAAAAACCGGAGTTTGGACCAAAACCCAGAAAAAATGCATACCACAGGGAGCATTTTTACAGTTTTGTTTTAATTTTAATATTAAATTGATACAAATACAAAGTTGTAAATTCTCACTATACATTTTTTTTAACAGCGAAGCTAAACTGTTCCTAAACTACTCATTAATTTCACCTATGTCCACGAGGGGGCTTGAATCATCAACCTCAATAAGAGAAGACAACAATTAATACCGTTGGTCTAGAAACCCTTCCGTATCCGGTGAGAGTCATTTTTTATTTAGCATCAAATCCACAAAGTAGTGTAATATGGTTATTTCGTTCAACACAAAAGAAAACCACATTGCGTTTTTTCTAATATGGACAATATTTAATGAGAAAAAAAATAGTTTTGTTTCAAGTAAACATCTAATATTAAAAAAAATGTTCACATTGAAGAAAATGTATGAATGTGTTCTTAAACTCTTTTTTAATCTTTAAGTTGGAGTACATTCGTGTGGAAATTGTATTATGATAAAAAGAAGACATAAAACATGTAATTAATTTACTTTCACTCTTCTTTAAAAACAACCACTAATACTTCCGATTAAGCCCCCAATTTCTAGATTTGCCTTTTCTGCATTCTTCCTTAACCAATATCTAAATTTGTCCTTTATATATTTAGCCTAATTTCCAAATTTGCCCCTTTTGCATTCAGCCCCCAATTTTCAAAGAATATTCATTAAAACTCAAGACTACCATATTTTCCAAAGTACAATACCTTAATTTGTAAATTTTCCGAATTACAATGCCTTAATTAAAAAAAAACTGAAAGTGCAAATAATTTCACTTTATCCATTCAGCCCTCCAATTTCAAGATTTTCCCTTTTTGTCCTCTTCCTAAACATCCTTGTACTTCTGTACTCTTCGTGGTTTAATTTCCATATTTACCCTTTATGCATTTACCCTCGATTTCCAGATTTTCCTTAATAGCATTCAACCCCTAATTTTTTTTAGAATGAAAGGGCAGCTGGTATGATCTCCACTATATGTATAAACAAATAAACATTTAAAAAATATGATGAAATTGTTTGGAGTAGTAGAAAGGCAAAATAGTCATTTATTTACATTTAGTGTTTATTCGGTTCAAAAGAAAATTTGTTTTATTTTACATCTATGTAATATCCCCATTTTCTACTAGCCACCAAAAAGTTGGATTTAATGGATAAAGATATCATATTAGATTCTATTTATTTATTTTTTATATTTTGTCCATTCTAATTGGTTTTGTATCTTTAACTAATATATCTAATTACTTATTAAGATATGATAAATATGATAAATTGTAGCATTGACAATCTTTACCCTTGCTAGGTAGTGTGTCGGGGTTTTACAAATCAAAACAAAATATAAAATTAAACTTTATACCAATCTAAAAATATTCATTTAAAACCAATTTTATTAATATTAAATTATTGTTATGACATATGAGTAACTACTAAAAATTAAAGATGATTAAATAATTATGCGCATGTAATAAAACTCGTTATTAAATAACTCGTATGGAAAATAAATACCATTAGTGTTATATTACTTTTAATAAAGAAACTAATGTATAAATCGGAGTTATATTCTTATTAAAAATATTATATTTATTAAACAATGGATATCCAAAAATATTATAAATATCAAAATATGGAAATGTTCACAAATAACAAATATAAAAACAGCTTACAATTAAAACAACGGATTAAATTTCTTCAAGCCTTTATCCTTTATTTTATATACATGGAAACTGTAACACAATATATACTGTAAATTATGAAATTTGGACGCAAGTAAAGCAATAAATATATAACCCTACTACAACTCAACTTACCAAATACCAATCCATGTCTACATCTATATAAATGTATCACATCCTTTCATAAACGGTAAACCTATCACCATCATCCTCTATACGTATTTGTATTTCGTATTTCTCTTCACAAAAACGTCCAGCCCTCCTTCAAAAGAAAACCTCCATACGAAAATTTCAAATTCTTTTCAATGGAATTCAAGCTTTGTGACGACATGGTGAAGACTGAAATTCTTTCACGTACATCTTTAAAGACACTGGATGTCATGCGTTGTATCAGTAAAGAATTCGAAAAGCTCACGTATGAACCCTATCTTCTTGACCTTTACAAGCAAAGAAACGACATTGTTTCTGGCTTTCTCATGCAAAAGTGTGGTCTCGAATGCTCTGAATACATCCACGAGTTTGCACCATCACGTGGATCAAAGAGCATCGATCTTGGTTTTCTACCACGTAATGCTCGAATTCTAGCATCTTCGGAGCAAGGAATCATCGTGTTCCAGAGTCCTTATACGAGATTTTCTGGGTCGATTTCATACTATGTTTGTAAACCTGCAACTAAACAGGTTGTACCATTGCCGAATCCAAGAACCAGGTATACAACTGAGAAGATTGCGATTGTGGTGGTGGGTTCAAATCCAGTACTCCATTACAAGATTGTCCGGTTATCTTCTTCCAATAGCGTGAAAAGGAGAGGTGAATTTTACAGGACATATCGTTGTGAAATCTTCGACTCAACGACTTGGGTATGGAAGCTGATGGATCTCTTAATGTTGCCATGTTCAGTTAGCCTGGATATGGCAAGACCGGTAATCACCACGAGAGGCTCAATCTACATGTTATTGTTGAACAATGACATCTTGAAATTTGATTCATATTCTGAAAAATGGTCAACTTTTTCATCGCCAATTCAAGACCGGGACTATGAGTTATATACTTCGAGGCAATTGGTAAAACATGACGGGAGATTGGGGTATTTTTGTAAGTCTTCAATTAATGGTGGTTGTGAATTTTGGGTTCTCGCGACTGATGCAGAATCGTGGGAGAAGATATATGTTTTCAACAAGGAGGAATCAGAAGATATTAATGCAAGGAATCTGGAGTTATTTGATGATCCAAATGCAAGTGTTCAGATATGGGCTGGAGTTTTTTTGTTTTACAAAGAGAAGACAATCGTTTCCAACCGATGTGATGATCAAATGTTCGTCTACCGATCAGATTTTGAACCAATTAATTTGAAGCTGGGCAAACAGGAGTAGCTAGAAAGATCATAGACTTAGATTAGAAACATGCATGCATGCATTTATTTTTCTGATTCTTCTTTCTATTAAATCGGTATATAATAATATAAATTTCATGATGTTTTGAATTAAGAGAATCTAAACTTTAATGTTGATGATATATGGAATTTATGTTTTATGCTTATATTTTATGTACGCATTTAAGCAGTGTTTTTTATCTTCAAAATAACAAGTCATCGCTATTCATATGGTTATTAGCAACCAACGAAAGATGGTTGAATTTTTTTTATTTTTTTTTTTTGATAGGAGGGCTATTTAATATTTATTCATTAGTTTGGAAAATCGGGATTAAAACTTCTAAATTTCTAATTATTAAAACTCCATAATTTTTACATTTTTAAATAAGAAATATTTGTATAATTAATACATTTTATTTTTAATTATAATAATATTTTTTTTTTATAATTAATGTGATATGGGTTTATCGTATTAAAAAATCTCATTTGATATATATGCACCATTGCCTAGATATTCGTCTGCAAGCGATTTCTTTAGGAACTGGACTGAGCCTTTAAGTCTTTCGGCTCTGAGCCCAACTGGCCCTTAACAGAAATATTTGGGCGCATACCTGATTTTCAACCTTAACTGGGCATAAATGGTGAAACATCACCCCCATTGGCCCATACTCTCATAGACTTACCCTCCAAGTCTTGTTTCCCACAAGTCAAAATCAAATAACAAAATTTGTCAAATGAATTAGAATACGAAGAAATTCAAATTTTTTATGCTTTTTGCCGACATAAAATATAATAAAATTTATTTTTTATTTGGTTTGCAATTTGTCAAATAATTAAAAAGTGAACTATGTAATATAACCAAATTATGTTTTTATTGAAACTATTTTGTACTTTTTTAATAAAAATAATAAAATTTTATTTAATTAAAGTTTTAATTTTTTAAACTCTTACCATCTCAAGCCTATTTTTTATTTAATTTGCACATAATATATATAAAACAAAAAGTTAACTTTTCAAAATAAATATATATAATTACAATCGAGTATAGGCATGTGTGTGAGGGTGGGAGGGTAAGTAGGATGTGGATGAGGTAGGAATGGGTTTGGGAGTAGGGATGCAAACATGTTAAGTTGAGCCCGAGCTTGACCAAACTCGACTTGTTTAATTTTCTTTAGGCTCAAGCTCGAGCGCGACTCATTTCGAGCCTTATGGTATGAAGCTCGAGATCAACTCATTTAAATTTATACAGTTATACCCTAAATCCCTAAAATGGTATTTATTTTAATATATAAAAATAAAATTCTAAATTTTATACTATATATATGAAGACTTGTTTAGGGTCACGAGCCTAATCGGGCTTAATAACACAGGCTCGAACTCGTTTAACAAACAACCCTGATCTTAAGCTCGAGCTCGGCTTGGACTCATTTAAAATCGATTTCGAATCGAGCTTTTAACCAGTCACTTCCGAATAGCTCACGAGTAAATTAGCTTGTTCACACCCCTTAATAGTTTTTTTATTTGATCAATCATATGACTAAAATAAATGGTGAGAGGACCTTTTGTCTTTTCAATAAAATATAAATAATTGGATCTAAAATCTTTGATCGTAACCAAACCAAATAATAACAATTCCTCCCCAACATAGAATTTAAAGAATACTAATTTCTTTGATTTTGTCAACCAAAAGCAATTTGAACTTAAATTTACATTTCAAATCCTCCAAATTCCTTCAAAATCTGTGAAATAAACACGCCCTAATTGTTGTAACGTTTTATAGCCCAGTCGAAAACCTCACGAAACATGTCATTTTTTAAAGAAACTACATAAGTCTAATAAGTAGCAGCATTCCTTCCACAATTACACAACCAAAAAAAAAAAAGGTCAACACTTAGTAATCCACCAACACCCCTGTGAAATTCCTTGTCCTTTTTCAAATGAAAACCTCATTTATCTGCAACACATTGAGAAAGTATAATTACTTTTCATTGTTTAATCAAATAGAGAACACCAAAGGGAAAAAAAAAAGAGCTGAAATTACCATTATGGGTCTGGAAGAAGTCTCGAGCTCCATTCGGGATTGAGATGGAAAGTTGAGTTGTGGAAGAATCTTTGTTATGACCATCAACATTGTCATTCTGTGGAGATTCATCAAAGAAATGATGCATAACTTTCTTGGGTTGTTCATCTTTTCTTTGATCAATTTTTAAAGTCAACTGATCATAATCATAATAAGCCCTTTGTTTTGTGTGGACCATTAATGAAGAAGAAGAAGATGATGATGATGATGTATTGTTGTTCATAGCCAGTGGTTCCAAGTTCCAAGAATCACCACCCATTGAAGCACTCATCGTGCCACTTCCACATCTTTCTGAGAGAAATGGATGTTCATCCATCTCTTCTTTCATCCCATAGCTAAGATTAAAAAAAAAATCAGCTTAAAAATATATAACAATGAGTTAAATTTACCAAAGAGACACTTATGGTGGTGGAAAATGGAAATGAAATATTATTTTTCCAAAAGCAAGGGTGCCTATAGAAATAGATAACCTATACTTGGACCTCTAATTCGAATCAATAAAAGCAAGTATTCTTTGTCTGCAACTTTAGACCTATGGACCCTATGTTATGTACGGAAAGTAACAACTATGAAGCATTATCCATTTTACAGGGTCATTTCTAAAAGATGGTTGTGACATGCAACTTTAGACCAATGTATGAGGTATAGTTTGTTTATTTATTTTTGAAAAAAGAAAAAGGTAGATAGATTATTATCTATTAAGATAAATGGTTAATGTGTAGTGGAGAAGAGAAGTACAATCAAAGAAACTGACAAATGGTCCAAAACTATATTATCGTAATGATAGAATGAAGGTAAAATTTGGATCTTGAAATGGCAAGATGCTAGTTAGCATGAAAAAAGTACAGGCTGTGAAAGCATATATGAGTTGATAATGTTGAGAAAGAGAAGAGAATCATTTATGCGAGACTGGACATTAGCATGTGGGTGTCTGTCTGTGTGCATGTGTACAATCATGATGATGACAAGGGATTAATGCATGTGTAAAGTTTTTGACACTCCACAAACAAATTACCTGTTATCTTTTTCTGAACGTGATGAGTACCCGCTGCTAGATTCCAACCAAAACCGATCTTGATGAGATGACACAACATTACTATTAACAGGAGGTCTGGATGATGATATGTGTAATTGGGGATAAAGGAAAGGTGAAACAGGGTAATTCATCATGGCTTTCGTAGAGATTGATAATGCTGGTGGTGTGTTGGGTGCTGAGTTTACTTCCACAGGCTTTCTTGAACGATTTCTGCCTCTATGCATGTGCCTTTCACAGTATTTTGAATCGGGATAAGCTTCTTTAGAGCATCTCCATTTTTTTCCATCTGTTCTTCTGCATCTCCCTGGTTCTGGATCGATTTTCCTCCCAAATCCCATCTGGAAACAGTTCCATCCAACTCCAACTGCAGATTTAATATATATATATATATATATATATATATATATATATATATATATATATATATATATATATATATATATATATATATATGTTCATCAATCACCTTTTTTTCTTAAAAAAAAAAAATGATTTAGTTTGGTTCGCTGGTCTCTGTGTTGACAAAGTAAAAAGGAGTTTCTTTTTTTCTTATAGGAAATACTTCAAACAGTTGGCATGCATATCCATGTTCAAAAACTTTCTTAGAAACGGTTTTCAAGTTTAGATACTGTTTTCTGTTTTGACAAGTGATTGTGAAAAAAGGGTGTTTTTTTCTTGTAGGAAATACTTCAAACAGTTGGCATGCATATCCATGTTCGAGAAGCACCTAAGATCTGAGGTAAAAAAAAAACTAGCATGAAAAACATACAATTAGACGACATACTTGAATGATGGGGAGAGTGGTGGTGCAGGAGAAGTCTCGTGGAAGAATCCAAGCTTCTTTGGATGGAGAAGAGGAGATCAGGAGGAATGGGCATGCCGGAAATCATGTATTTGTAAACAAGCGCTTGGTGTTCTAGCTCTTGCCATTGACTTGATGTGAACGGAAATCGAGAATTGTCGTTCCTTGCTGTAGTCATCGTTTCCATTGATCGGGTCTTCTTTTCCGGTCAAGATATTGAAGAAAGAGAAACCCTGGAATTTCTGGGTATGAAATAAGCTTCAGAAAGAGATAAAAATATACAGGTCGTTTCTGTTCGTGATAGAGATCTGGTGTGCACTGTATAATGACTGCAACCCCTCTGTTGCATCTTCTGCTGCTACTATGCTGCCTTTATGGCAGCACTTGTCCCTGACAAATATCATACGGAAACCCATAAAATAATGGAATAGGCCACTTCCATATAGTCTCCTCTTCACCTCTTGTTAATTGTTATTACACATTTTAAGTATGCTTGATACTTGATATCAAATAATTAACTAATTAAGAGATTAAATTACACATTCTATCAATACCACTTTACATTAGTGCGTTCAATTTTTTTTTTTTTTTGCATAGATGGTATTTTTAGACATGCAAATGGTCCTTATGATTTACGTTTAATATAGAGAGGTAATAAATGTTTATAAGAATTATTTGTGAAATTTTCTAAAAACTCTCATAAAGACCATTATGAAATTTTTCTGAAACTTAGGACTATTTGTGCAATTTTTAAATAAAATATATTAACTTTATATTAATTATCATAAATAAAAAAAACTAAAAAATAAAATATATAATATCTTTATAAAGAAAAAAATAGAAATTATTAAATTTAATCTAACATGTAAATATATTTTATTTAATATATAAATAATTTTTGTTATCTAATTTTAATCGACTTGTAAAATTTTGCAAGTATGTTTTCATTTTGCTTTCATAATACAAATACGTTGTTGTCTTAAATTAAAAGTAAAATCCACGCAATCAATAAATTGTATTGACTTCAGAAATACTAATTGAAACAGAACAAAATAAAATTCAATTTCATTCTATGTTATTTAGATTTAACTTTTAACCAAACCAATTAAGTAGGTTAAATTGAATTTTATTTTGTTCTATTTCAGTAAATATTTTATACTCAATATATTCATTTATTGTTCGTATTTTATTTTTAATTGAAGACAACAATATACTTATATTATGAAACCAAAGCGAAAACATAGTTTTATCTTTAATTTAAAACCATATACTTATATTTTTAAAACAAAATGGCAACATAGTATTATTTTGTATATCAACTTATTTTTTTATAATAACATATCATATTTATTTAAAAATAATTATATTTATATAAGAAAAATAAAGATAAATCTCTCAAATTGTATTACAACTATATCATATAAAAATTAAAAAGTAGATGAAATGATGTTTTTATACTTCAAATAATTTTAAATAAAAACAAACAAAACAAAAATACTTAATTATGTATTGTAGTTTAACTATTTTAGATAAAGGTTAGATAACAAAATTATTTATATATTAAAAAAATATTTGCATGTTGATTAAAATTAGTAACTTTATTTTTTATATAAATATTATATTTTATGTGTTTTAGTTTTTTTATTTGTTTATGATAATTAATATAACATTTAATAGACTTTTTTTAATTTTCACAAATGATCATTATACGAAGTTTTAGAAAATTTCATAAATGGTCCTTATGTAAACTTTTTAAACATTTCATAAATGGTTCTAGTTGGGACTTAATGTCTTTCTCTAACGAATGTATGTCTTAATGACCATTAGCGTGCGAAGTTTCTCCAAAAAGACCATTCATGAAAAGAAAATCATAGACTTTTTTAAGACAAATTTAACACCAAAAGGACCATTTGTAAAATCTTGTTTATGATTAAGAGACTGTAACACCCGTTTCCTAGTATGGTTCTTCAGAATTTAGTTTCATTAATTAAGTTTTGGAATTTTGTTTAAGCCACGACGTGGTGATGGAATGACCACGACGTGGCAGCCCGGTTCAGGAAAACACGTATATGTGAACCATCACGATGTGGCGAGGTCTTGGCCACGGCGTGATGGCGGTTGGGGCTCAAAACCCTAGATTCTGGGATTAGTGCCCTATTTAAAGGTACTAACTCCTAGGGCCGCCTCATTTGGCAACCTTTATCCTCTGAAAATGATCCCCACCCAAACCCTAACCTCTCTTTGTGTTCTAAGAGTGTGAAGCCATTTTGTGAAGCTTGGAAGAAGAAGGAGTCCATCTAGTGATTTGGAAGCTTGGTTTTAGCTTGGATCTAGCATCTTTATCTCATTTTTGGCCTTGTGGAGGTATAAAGTCTTAACCTTGATCATTGTAGCTTTAGATCTTGAGTTAGGTAATTTTATGAGTTTTTTAGTCCCAATCTTTTTGTCTTTGGAGTTTGGGTGAACTCTCGAGCATTTAATTATGTTATCTAGCTTCTAGACCATGGTGTTAGTTGGAAATTGGTATTGCATGACCTAGGGTGGTGTCCACGCCATTGGTGCAACCATTAAGGACCTAGGATCAGAGATCTCGACTTTTTGGAGTATATTAATGGATAAAGTTGGAAACTTTATCCATCAAGACCTTAGGGAGATTCAAATCTGAGCTTTGGAGCTCTTGGTGTAAAGGGATGAGAGCTTACTCCATTAAGTTGTTTTTGCTCAGTTCCCACGACATGGTGGTCGGCCTAGTCGCGACTGTTTTGCCATAATGTTCTCACAACATGACCAATAGATGGTCACAACGTGAGGATACTCCGGGGTGACTTTGACCTTTAACTTTTTGACCTGGTTGAATTTGGACAAATGGTTAGTGTGGAAGGTAGACTAAGGACTAATCTTGAATATTTTGATAGGTGAGTTATAACGTTGGTTCCTTGATTAGTTTGAGTTTTGGTTAATCCTATTCGAGTGTGAGGTAAGTTTTCTCATTATACTATGTAGAATGCTAGATTGTCTTTATGACTCTTGCATGTATGTTGGGCGGGGCCCGTTATGTCGAACGAGGCCCGTTGTGCTGGGTGGGGCCCGATATGCTAGGTAGGGCCCGATGTTATGTATGGTATGATGTATTTTGGGGAAACTCACTAAGCTTTTGTGACATCCCCATTTTTACGGCCAGAAAAGACCGATTTCGTTTATGCTTTTTAAATAAAAATCAGAGTAACTTCTTAAAAAAAGTGTTGCGGAATTTGTTCCCAAAACAAAATATGATATAAATTTTATCAAAGCATTTCTTAAAGAAATGTATTTCCATTACATTGCAAAAACTCGGGATGTCAATCATCGATACAGACCATAAGCATAAACTAAAAAGAAATAAACACCTTAGGCCACAAAACACTATCTGGCCTCAAATCCGTAATCTCTCGTCAAATCATGCAACTATGCTTTTGCCACTACCTGTAATACAAGAAACTGAGTGGGTCAGGCTGGGGAGCCTGGTGAGCATATAGGGTTTTCAACCCACAATAAATAAGTTTATTATTTTCAACAATCATTAAACCCGATTACTCGTTCCCGTTATCCTCACCTTACGTCCCTAAATCATCTATCTTAAGGGACCTATCCTTAGGAATTTCATCGGGATGGACACTACTGCTAAGGGGATTCCTTAGCCATATGTGTCCGTAAGGCAACCATGGTGGGGATGGAGTACACCGGTGAACACTTCGTTCACAAACACCTACAGGTTGCGAGCCTGCTAGCGTTCCACTGGACTTCCTAGAAAAGTCTGTGGTCGTCATCCATACTCCGCTAGATGACTGGAACAACGTCAACATTGAGGCCTCTCATCATTTTATTTTACCACACACCAACTATTTCATCTACCCATGTTCTACCCAACATATTCGTAGATATAAAATACATACATGGTCCAGATCTGTAAAATAAAGCTTACACCTTTTATCCAGCATAACTTTCAAAGCATAAAATACATATACGGTCTAGATCTAAAGAAAAAGTGCAGATCTGAAGGAAAGAAGTTCAAATCTTTCATCCAACATAGATCTCAAAGTATACAGTTTAGATCTGAAGAAAAAGTTTAGATCTAAGATGAGAAAGTGTAGGTCTGAAGGAAAAAGTTTCAAATCTGAAAGAAAGAAGTTCAGATCTTTCATCCAACATAGATCTCAAAGTATACAGTTTATATATGAAGAAAAAGTTTAGATCTGAGATGAAAAAGTGTAGATCTGATGGAAAAAGTTGCAGATCTGAAAGAAAGAAGTATAGATCTTTCATCCAGCAAACATCTCAGGTAAACAGATAACATATATATACACATAGCACATAATTTATATAAAATACTTCATATCTATGTGTAAGATGAAAGTGACTATACACTCACCTGATACGGAGTGATTTGGACAACACTTCGCTTCTTAAAATAATCTTCTTTGATGAAACCGAGAAGTTTGCTTGAAAACCGGGCTCTGCGCGGGCAGAGTTTCAAACCGAAAAACTCTTTTTTCTTGGAGCCTCCGGGCTCTCCAAGGATTTCTTCTAATGCTAGGAGGTTTTCCTAGGCTTTTTGGGGGGTTTGGGGGGTGTTAGAGAGTAAGTAGAGAGAAGAATAAGTGGGTTTTGGTATGAAAAATGAAGGAATTCTCGGGGGGTATTTATAGGCTGAAAAAGGGGTGAACTCGTCGAGTTTCTGGCCCAACTCGTCGAGTTTCTGACCCCCAACTCATCGAGTTGCTGGTCCAACTCGTCGAGTCGGTGCCACGTTTCGTCATCAGATTGTGCCACGTCACCCACTTCGCTGCAGCACCCTGCCGACTTCTAAACCCCATAACTTTCGCATACGAGCTCCATTTTCGACGTTCTTTATATCCACGCGTAGGTAAAAACAAGATCTACAACTTTCCTTTTGACTCCATCGGCTAATTCTCGACCGATCTTAAATTTATCAGTATGAGAAGATTACACTGCTAAACGACCGTGTAGAATTCATAACTTCTACATACGGACTCCGTTTTCGACTGTATTTTTATCGTTGAACTCCTATTAATGAGATCTTCAATTCTAATTTAGGGTGTGTCGGCTAAAAATCGCTCGATCTAAAATTCGAGTTTCGGGTCGTGCACTGCTATGCCGAATCTTAGAAAATTCATAACTTCCTCATACGAAGTCAGATTTGGGCGTTCTTTTTATGGATGTTCTCGGTTTAACATACTCTATGACTTTCGTTTAGATTACAAAGGCCAAAAAGTCTTCTATCGTAAATTCACTATTTACGCTTCCCGGTGTCGTGCCGGTTCCGTCGCGAAACTTCGACGGGTCATAACTTATTCGTTATAACTCGGATTTCGGCGTTCTTTATATACACGGAATCCTTGTTTCGACCACTAAAACTTTATGTAAAGATATCAGGTTTATCTCACACTTTAATTTTGACGCTT